GGAGTCTGAAGTTAATTATTTGTCTTGACGAAGGAGGGGGAGAAAGCAGGCCCGCTGTGGAAGCTGACTTTGAGTCTGTGTCTGGCCCTCCCTGGAGCGGGACAAGCGGGAATGGAGGGCTCGGTGCCGGCAGGGGGCCAGGGGAGGCTGAGAGGGGAGCCCGGTACAGTTCCTTGTGGACCAGTCAGGTTTTTGCCACTCGGAGCTCTTTCTGCAGGTCTCTCCAGGCAAGGCTGGCCCTAGCTTCACCTAGGGGTACCAGAGGATCCAGCTTCTCCCGGACTCCTTCTGCCTGCCTCCTTAAGCAGAACTGGAAGAGGGGCCTGGGAGGAGGGGCCCTGGGCAGCAGGGTGAGGTCCCACGGGAATCCAGATTGGGTAGAAGGTTTCAGATGCTGACACGCCCTTCGTGGCCGCCCTCTGTGTGCTTGGGAAGGACTGAGACCGAGTGCCATTCCGGGTGACAGGATGCCCAGTACAGGGATGGAGATGGGAAAGGGCACCTGGGGTTTGGGGGCCAGCATCTGCCCAGGGTGCGGGGTCGGAGTTAGAATCCCTGATATGAGCGGGCAGTAGCGGGGCTGGAAAGGTGGGCGGTGCTTGTGATCCGTTCCAGCGGGACTTATCCTGGGAGACTTCAGCTGTGTGATTCAGAAAGGTCGAGTGGAGAGAAGGAACGCAGATGGAGGCAGGGACAGGGCTTTGCCTTCTGAATGGAGAAGGTGGAGAGAGGAGAAGCGGGGGATGGATTAGGGGACAACTCAGACAATAAAATAGGGGAGCTGAGTCCCAGCTTTCTGGCTTAAGTAACTGAGTAAGTGGGATGGCATTAACCAAGCCAGGGAAATTGGGGCAAAGCAAGTTCAATTTTAACCTAGAATCCCCTCCGCCTTTGATGGCGACAGTGAGTGACATTGTTCCCCTATCTCACAGGCCTAGTGTCTGTGAGAAACCCTTTTAAGCCACTCCAGGCCCGGCCTCACTAATGAGCTGCCATGGTGGGAAAGACCCAGCCCTCTCCCTCCTCCTCTCTCTGTTCCTGTTGCATCCCGCTCCAGACCCTCCACTTCCCTGCCGATCCCTGCCTGGAGGAGGGACCCATGTCTGCCTCCTCCCCTCCTGCCTTTACTTTCCTGGCTGCAGGAGAAGGATCAAAGTGAAAAGGTGAAAGTGACCATCCCCAACCCCAGGCCAGAGCTCAGAGGTGCCCTGTCCCCCTTTCCTGGACATAGTGTCTTCTAGAATCAGGGACAGGCTGCCTTCACTGGATCTGTTGTGTTCAAAGCTAGTGGAGGCCTTGCCAGCACCTTTCTCAAACCCTTCAGGAAATGCAGCCAAGTCCCACTTTTGGAGCCCACCACACCCAATGTGGGGGCCCCCAGAACCCCCTGTCACAAGCCTGGAAAACTGTGCTCAGGGTTGAGAGCAGGAGCAGGGGGAGCAGTTGTCCTTCCCTCAGCACTTTCTCCAAAAGTGATGGCTTTTCTGACAGGTGTGGACAGAGAGTCAGGGGATGGGAGCTGCTCGTGTTCTCCCTGAAAAGACTCCCAGCCAGACCCCGGGCCCCTGAAAGCAGCTCCACCTGGCGCATGTCTGTGGCCTTCCCCTGCGTTTCAGCCTGTGCTGGCTTCTAGGCCCTCCAGCATGACATGTCAGCTTCCCAACCATCCCTGGCCAAGCCCCTGGCCCAAGAGAGGCGGGATGATCCTGACATGCTCACCATGGCTGCGGACATCAGCCGGGGCAGGCTGCAGGGCAGCCCTGCTCCAGAGACTGCTCTGTGTCCCCTGGTGGGTCGGGGGGCCTGTAGCTCACCCAGACAAGCAGGAGAAGCTGTTCTGGGCCACATTTGTCCACTCAGAACTTCCTTCCCCTTCTTCCATGCCCTCGCCTCCAGCTTTCACTCCCCAACCCTCACAGACCACATCTCCTTCCCTGGATGGTGGGCGGGCAAGTGGACAGAGCGGGGTGCACAGGATGACCCCCTTCCCCTGTGGGTCAGAAGACAGAACCCAGGAAATGTGGCCAGGCCAGCCCCTCACCCTCAGGCCCACATGGGATTCTTGTGCCCTTCAGGTGGGACTGTCCCCAAGGAGCCCCCTGGACAGCAGACACCTGTCCACTCCTCAGCCCCTGCTGGGGACCCCCAGGAGCAGTGGCTCCCCCTGCGAGAGTGGCTGGGGCGGCTGGAGGCTGCAGTGGTGGAGCTCAGAGAACAGGTACCATGGAGACAGGGCTGGTGTGCATTGAATGGGGAGGGCTTCTCATAATGGGAAGGAGGGAAAAGTTCGCCTTGGAGAGGGGTTCCTAAAATAGAGCTTTCTTTCATTGCACATGGAAAGGAAAGGCTCTTATCTGACCAATTTCCTTCCTTCTTTTCTTTTCTCCTTCCTTCCTTCCTCCCTCCCTCTCTCTCTCTCTCTCTCTCTTTCTTTCTTTCTTTCTTTCTTTCTTTCTTTCTTTCTTTCTTTCTTTCTTTCTTTCTTTCTTTCTTTCTTTCTTGTGAGATGGAGTCGCCATCTGTCACCCAGGCTGGAGTGCAGTGGCATGATCTCAGCTCCCTGCAACTTCTGCCTCCTGGGTTCTAGTGATTTTTGTGCTTCAGCCTCCTGAGTAGTTGGGACTGCAAGTGTGCACCACCATGCCGGCTAATTTTTGTATTTTTAGTAGAGATAGGATTTCACCATGTTGGCCAGGCTGATCTCGAACTCCTGGCCTCAGGTGATCTGCCTGCCTCAACCTCCCCAAATGCTGGGATTATAGGCGTGAGCCACCATGCCCGGCCTGAACAGTTCTTAACATTTATTCTTTCATACAAATGAAGAACCTGCAGGCTATTTGTTTTGTCAGTTCATGTTTCATGCTGTTCCATGTATTTGGGAAATGTCATGGAATGTGCTCTGCATAAGGCATCATCAAGAAATATTTTGGATGGGTAAAGATGTCTTTAATTCTTGGGGCAAGGGTTGGATCCCCATTTTGCCCAAAGAAGAGAATGGGGCTCATGCTCCCCTGAGAACGGTGATCGTTTGAGCTGGATGCTGACTGAGGGGGACCCATCTCTGCTCTGGAACTGGCAAACTTCTTTCTCATCCTGCCTCATTTTCACACCCCTCATCTCTGCTGGAGATGGTGGGGACACTGAGCCAGTGCCTGCTATTCCATCTCCTTCCTCCAGAATAAGGACCTGCAGATGAGGGTGAGGCGGCTGGAGTCCTGTGAGTGCCACCCTGCATCTCCCCAGTGCTGGGGGCTGGGGCGTGCCTGGCCCGAGGGGGCGCGCTGGGAGCCTGACCCCTGCACAGCCTGCGTCTGCCAGGATGGGACCGCTCACTGTGGCCCCCAAGCCCACCTGCCCCATTGCAGGGGTAAGTGCCACCCTATCCGCTCACCGGGGCCACCTAACGGCCTGCAGATGGCATGGGGTGCTTGAGTGACACTGCTGTCTCCTCAGGCTGCAGCCAGAATGGCCAGACCTACGGCAACGGGGAGACCTTCTCCCCAGACGCCTGCACCACCTGCCGCTGTCTGGTGAGCTCCCAGGACCCACCTGGGATGTCCCTCACCTTTCTGCCTCTCTTCAGCTACCTGTCACTACAATGTGGCACTCCAGATGTCGCATAATGGGCTCTGCCTGCCACTCCCACACATTGCCACGGTGGCTTTCAGTTGATTTCAAGTAGGAAAAGGAGCTCAACACCCATGGACACTGGGGGGCCCTCAAGCCACTCAATTCAGACCTGGCCAACAGCGGCGTGGAGGGCAGAGAATGTATTAGGTTGGTGTAAAAGTAATTGCGGTTTTTGACATGACTTTTAATGGCCAAAAAACCGCAATTACTTTTGCACCAAGTTAATAGTTGCTTTTCCTCCTATGTCACCTCCCACTCTTCCACTGCCCATCTTCTACCTCGGAACCCCCTCTCCTGCCTGTTCTCCCTCACCAGGCTCTACATCCACCTTCCCCCAGTCTTTCCTTCCTCTTTCCTCCACTGAGAAAGTCTTCGGTCTTCTTCCTAGGATCTCCCCTCTCTGGGGAATTTGCTGGCACCTGGAACAGATGGTTTCCCAGGGTTAAGAGCATGAGGAGACAATGGGAGTGGGGGCGGGATGTCTCTTTTCTGCCTTTACAGTGAGGGTAGCCCACATCCTCAGAGCCAACTCATCCTGTTGCCCCTCTGACATGTCCCAGCCTGGGCTGAGGTTTTGCTTCCAGAGGCCCTGTGCTCTGGGGTTCTGAGGCCTGTGCAGCCACCTCAGTCTGCTCCCACAGGAAGGGACCATCAGCTGCACCCCGAAGCCATGTCCAAGAGGACCCTGCCCTGAGCCAGGAGCATGCTGCCCGCACTGTGAGCCAGGTCAGCCTCCTGCCAGCCTCAGCTCCACCTCCTGCATGCCTTCTGTGGCCCACAGCCACAACCTGCCACCTGAGGGTCAACGAGTCTGGGACATGCCCAGGGGTGCCTGTCCTCTCACTCTGACAGTAGCCAGGGGAGTGCAGAACCCATGCACAAGTCAGCAATTACTGGCTCTGGCCTGGGACTGAGCCAGAGACCATAGGAAAACAGGCACAAAATCTTTTTCCTGCCCTCAGGGAGCCTCCAATCTAGTTGAGAAGATAAGCTCATAGCCAAGCTACCACAAGATATAAGAACCAATGAGCAAATTAAGAGGAGGTGTAGAAGACTGCAGTGTGTGCTTTGCCAGAGGAGGGCACAGGAGGCAGCAGAAGCCCGTCCAGGCTGGGCAGTCAGGGGACCTTTCCAGACAATGGGTCCTTTGAGCTGGGTCTTCATGGGAGAGTGGGTTTCCACCTGAAGGAGAGGGAGTATGTGAGGGTCCTCTGTGCACAAGGACAGGGTGGAGAGAGGTGGATTGCAGAAGGTCCATGTGGGAAGGCCATGGGAACAGGCTGCTGGAAGCCTTGCAATTAGGACTTTCTTCTATGGGCAGTGGGGGCATTGAAGGCTGAAGCAGCGTGTGGCATGGTCAAGGGGGTGCTTGAGGAATATTCACCTGGTGGGGGCTGGATGCAGACGGAGGAATCAGGGCTGTGACAGCAGTTGTCTAGGCATGGAGCCAGGGATCCCGTGGGCTGGAGAAAGGGGGGTGTTTCTAAAGGACGGGCAGGAGTCTGTGACTGGCTGGGTCCCCTGGAATAGTGGAGGCTGAGTTTGGGACACTAGGATAGCAGTGGTGCCGGGGACATGAAGAGAGATGGGAGGAAGAGGAGGTCATGGCTATGCAGAGGGGTGTTACTGGCTCATAGTGGGATAGGGTTGCCAGATTTAGCAAATGAAGTCTAGAATGCTTTGTTAAATCTGAATTTCAATAAACAGCATGTCAGTTTTTAGTACAGGTATATCCTATTCAATATTTGGGATATTCTTATACTAAAAATGACATTTTATTAATCTGAAATTCAAATTTTACTGGGCATCCTGTATTTTGTCTGGCAGCCCCACCAAGAGAGGAGTCTCAGCTGGTAGTAAGAAAGGTGGGACAGGGACTCAGACCCGTTGGGTCTGGAAATGCAGCCTGGGGTGTTGGCTGGAGAAGAGGACTAAAATCTTGAGGGTTTATGAATCTCAAAGAAAAGACACACAAAGAAAAGACACACACACACCCTGTCTCTTCAGGGCACGTAGTGCCTCAGGGCCACCGCTAGCCTATATAATGTCTTTGGTGAAATTTTAAAAGGCATCCTTTCCTCAAGACACTACTTCCATCTGTTGTAAAATAATGGAACCGTGCGGATGATGTGCCTGTCTAACACTTTACTGCCATCTGCTGGAAAGGTGTAGTAAATATTAAAATCGCTGATGTCTGTCATGTGAATGGTGTCCCTTTAATGTGGCACCCAGTCCTTTGGGTCTCTTACTTGTGGGCCAGGGCCTGGTTATCCAGGCTGCCCTGGGGCCACAGGGCTGGGGAAGCATGGCATCCAGAGCCCTGTGTCATCCACACCTGCCAGGTAAAGGAATCAGCCACCACCCATATCCCTGCTGCTGGGCAGACTGCTGGCCTGGCCATGCCAAGCCCAAATATGGGGGCTAGGCAGGGCTGCTACTGCCGCTGCCCAGGCATCAGGGCTGAAGCCTGCCAAGCCTGCAGAGTAAGCCAGCTCTGGCAATGGAGAGGGACGGAGCAGGAAGGGACGAGGAGGGAGAGCGGAATAGACAGAAAGAGGGAGGATGGTGTGGGGAGGGAGGGCTGGCTCAGTATCTGCCCTGCAGGCAGGGGCTGTGCAGTGCCAGCGGTTCTCATGTTCAGAGCTCAACTGCTTGGAGAGCTGCACCCCACTTGGGGAGTGCTGCCCCATCTGCCGGCCCGGTGACCTGCCCTGTCCTGCCCTGCCCTGCCCTGCCATCCCTTCAACCCCAAGGGTCCAGTACCTACTTGGGGTCACGCCTTCCCTCAAGTGATGTCCACCCACCCTGCTCCCTGGTAACCCACTTGTCATCCTGCCAACCTTCACAGGCTGTGAGTATGAGGGGCAGCTTTATGAGGAGGGGAGCACCTTCCTATCCAGTTCCAACCCTTGTCTGCAGTGCACCTGCCTGGTGAGTCCACCTGTCCCCTCGGCCTAGGCCCTGCTCCTCCCTGGATACCTGCCCTGCCACTCCTCCAGCCCCCTCACATGCCTCGCAAGAGCTGGAGCCAGCTAAGCTCTCCCTCCATCTCTGCCCTGTGTCCCCCTTCTCTGAGGGTGCCCAACACCCACCCACCCTGCCCTCTGCGGGAGCCAGATCAGAAGCCTCACAGCCACTGGTGCATTACAGAGGAGCCGAGCTCGCTGTATGTCCCTGAAGTGCCCGCCCAGCCCCTGCCCACAGCCAGTCCTGAGGCCTGGGCACTGCTGCCCGACCTGCCAAGGTGAGAGCCCCTGGCCCTTCCCTGGTAGAGCCACAGGTAGGCTATCGTGCCATTTCTTGAATTCCAGAACCCACCTTGCTGGCCTCCGGTGGGTTTGGTCCATGGGGGAGCTGGAATGCCTGAGCTCAAATTCTGCCATTGCCATCTAGGGCTTGTGTGATTCTCTACCGCAAGTTCCCCATGTGTAAGGTGCAGATAATGATATTCCATACCTCATTGTGATGCTTAATAAATGCTTGCTTTCTACTTTGTGCTCCCCAATCATTAGACATGGGGTCAACCCTCAGGGATGACCACTAGAGTGTGACACTGAGTCAAACACTAATGCAAAATCCTGTACCAGTCAAGGGCAGGAATAGAAGCAGGTACCAGCCACTGTGCGGATTCAGAGGAAGGAGACCCTATCCAGCCTGGGCACAGGAGGGAAAGCGGCCTGGAGGCAGCTGGTCCCCAGGTGGCCCTTAAGGATAGAGAGCAGTTAGCTTGGTGAAGGGCTGACGAAGGCAGTGAACCTCCCAGGAAGTGGGGAGAAATCAAGCACAGATGTGGCCCTGACACTCAGAGTGGGTGTGTGATGTTGGCTGGGAAGGTGCGAGAGGTGACGAGGGGCCGGAGATAGGTGGGGCACATGGGTGTGGCCATGCTCTGTCCAGGGAAGACCAGAAAGGGTGGGCTAAGGAGCTGAGGCCTCACCCTGCCTGGGGCACTGGGAGCCACTGGGGAATCTAGGCAGAGATCTGACCCCATCTAGTCTTGGCTCAGGAGAGAGCCCTCAGACGGCATGTAGACAAGGAGGGCGGGCAGGCTGAGGCTGGGGTCTAGGCCAGCTCCTACCAGACCTCCCTCTGCTCACCCCCTCAACCCTAGGCTGCACAGAAGGTGGCTCTCACTGGGAACACGGCCAAGAGTGGACCACACCGGGGGACCCCTGCCGAATCTGCCAGTGCCTGGTAAGTCCTGAGGCTGCTCCTGGTCTGTCCCCTTCCCTGCCCTCAGGCCCACTATATTCTTTCCCTCATTCCATGGAATACTTCGCAGAGGTGTTGAAAGGAAACCCAATGGAGAAGACCTAGGCACTGTCTGCTGGGGGCTGGGCAGAGCTCATCTGCGTGCTCAGCTCTGAGCCCAATAGGTGCTCAGCCCGGGTTAGTGAATGAACTCAAGGAGCTCACAGGCTGGAGGAGGAGACTGGGCAGGATATGGCGGGCAGCAAAAGCTCCAGGGCGGGAGAATCACAGTTTGACTTGAGACATCTAGAACTGTGCTGTCCAATTTACAGCCACTACTACATGTGGCTACCCAGCCCTTGACGTGTGGCCAGGT